AAACAGAGTTTAATAACTGTGTTTTATTCGTTTTTGGCTGAAAAGTTGAGAAAAGAAATGTGTTTGGTGAAATGGCAAGAGTGTAATACCTTAAATCAACCAGCAGATGTCGCCGTTGCAAAGGATGACACGTCAGCCTTACTCACCTCTGATTGACAGCAGCAGCTTGTGCCCTGTCCACTGACGGAGCGTCTAACAGGAAGTCTCGCCTTCAAAGCGCTCCTTCAGAATAAAACGGCGGTCCGTTTCTACAGTGTAAAAGTCATCAAATTTAGCAAATGAAACACTTTTGACACTAAATTACCGTATTTAAACCGTAGTTTACAATACAGCGTCTYAAAAATCGACAAGCGATAGCTTCTTGCTATGCTAGCGATAACAGCTTAGCTTTAAGCTGACGGGTTTGGACCGGAAGTTCCGTGTTCAACCCAATATTTCGACCGACCTAGCAGCTCGGGTTAAAACTGCACAAAACAGCGTTTGAAGCCACCCAAAATTCTCTGAAGCTTATCGAACAACTGATCGCAGTTTAATCGGCCGCTCAAAGCGCCGAAAACGACTTTTTCGCCATATATCGAGACGTACCGTTCGGTTTTTTCGTCCCGGAAGTGGTTGAAGCTAACTTTGTTAGCGTGTGTCACTCTGAAACTGGCCCCCGTATTTCGTTTATTAATCTAGGAGTTCTTAAACTCATAAATGTTAGCGAAAATACGAAAATAAGATGTAAACTGAGTTCACAGATTAGATCTTATTGATAAAATAGCGTTTCGCTATTTTTTAGAGCGAAGTTTTATTTCCCTTTCAGGAAGTGACGTCATTACCTCTAAAAACCGTAAAATGTTTGTTTTTCATCAGTTTAAAGTTAAAGACTTATTTTACGACCCGAAATGACAGAATAACAACAAAATCTGCAGCTTTTGTTATAATTTGAACACCTCAGTCATGAAAAGGTCTTATAACAACATTTTCTTGCCAAACATGAGAAGGTAATTTATTTATTTTTTTTCAGAATGCACAGAGATATGTTTTCATGAGAAAAATGTCTAGAAATTACGGTGCCACCATTATGTAAGGGATGGGTTATTTATTCAAATAACTTTCCCACATCTTCTCATAACAAAGTTATAAGAGTAAATTTTACCAAGGTTTCTTCTCATTACTTAATA